TTTTTTTTTTTTTTTTTTTTTTTTTTTTCTTTTGGTGTGCAGAGGTATAGAATCAGTATTTTTTTTTGTTCCTTACCTGATTTTTGATGTAACAAACATAAATATGATTTGAATGGAATGTGTTTTGTTGTTGGTGTGCATTCATCGCTCTACCTTGCTTTCTCTTCTCCAAATGCCCCTGAAATTTTGACAGAATAGCAAACCCAGTAAGTAATTGCAAGAGTTCCAACACTTTGGGCCCAGGGAAGGGGAATGAGACAGAGAGAAGATACAAGGAGTGGATTTAGTGAGCTTACCTCAGTTCTCGGGCTCTGCTGAAAAAGACTGAAAATTGAAGCTCAGAGGGAGAAGGGTGTGTTAAATTGAGGTGGTGGTGGTTGCCGCCAGTCGCGGTAGAGGACAAAGTATAGTTATGAGGAAAGTCAAAAAGTGGAAAGTAAAAGAGGAGGGAACTCCCTACAAAATAAAGACCCACTTATTGCTATCAACTTTCTCGAGGAACAAGGCCAATATTTGAATTTTTGTTTCCAGAAAAGTGGAAGGATCATCAACGTTTCTCGCTCACCTTCGTTTATCCATGATAATTGATTGAATTCATGTAAGTGTTAACCTTAATTCAACCATCTGAAGCTAGAAATCGATGAAACACAACAAGATTTCAACAATTTAGCACTTTTCAAGATTATAGTAATTCATTCTCTTAGAAAAAAAAAAAAAGAAAAATCAGTTATAGGTTCGAGGAGGGGACTTCCACTGGTCACCTCCAAGGCCTGATTATACAAAAGTAAAAGAAAAGGGAGAGTCAAAACTTTGTTCTATGACTTCTAATGCGCTCTATAAAACATGATGCCCTCTAATTTAAGGACCATTGAACTTTGCTTACACTGTAATTCCTAGTTAGGTGGTCTTTCTCTTTCTCTGCAACTTTTGCAGCTTCCTCCACTTGAGGTAGATTTGATATGATAGCCCCGAGAAGACCATTACAACGCAGCCCCACTGCTTCGATGACAGAGGATTTCCACTGAGCATAGAGGACACCACGATGCTGACAAACTTGCGAGTTGTGGTAATGGTGGTATTGGCAAGGGAACCGAATCGACTTATTGTTAGGAAGATAAAATTTTGGCCTACTGCTCCACAGAGACAATACAGAAGAATGTCCCACGCTGCCTCGGGATGCTGTCTACAGAATTCTATGGCATGATATCCAGTGCCATTCGGCCACCCAAACATATAAATCATGTTATATATTGTACCCCAAAGATTCATTCCCAACATTATGTCCCATGCACTTGTTTTTGGGTACCTGCAGAATCGATGATGATTATGAAATGACCATTACAGTAATCATGACTCATTTAAATATACTGTTGAACAGCATAAAGCTTCCAAGTTCTGGACTAAATTGCATTTACTTCCAAGAACAGCATTGAATCTTTTAGGCCATCGAGAATGGAAATGTCAAATACATGATAATCTTTAACATTATGAATTCGTATAAACACTAATCGTGTACGAGAAAAGAAGACTAACAAAGAGAGAATTGTAAAAAATGATATTCTCACCTTGTTGAAATGGAATCTTGAGTGGCATTCGTGAAACCATCAAATGCAAGGTTCAGGAAGCAGAGTCCATATCCAAGTGGTGCATTGGGATGTGCCAACTTGCTAATAGTCTTTGAGCTAGTCTGGAATTAACAAAAATTTAAACATAGAACACAAAGAGAACGAGAAGTAGGAAGATTTGAAACGGAAAAAACCTTTAAGAGTGCAAATGTAGACACTCCTCCAGCAACCAAAAATGTACAAAGATACTCCGGAAATGTGTACTTAATACCATAAACTAGCGTTCCCATCAGCATCACTGCACAAACAAAATAAAAAGCATTCAGATTAAGAACGTACATAGGTCAAAAGTTCCTCAGACTAAACCATTGAAGTCCTATTATTCATAACCTCTTTCTCCTAGATTTTCTTTTTGTTTACCATGGAACAGATAATATATAATCTTCATATTTAAGTGGAGTAAAACATATAATTATGAAGATCTCGTTGTTTTCTGACCTGGAATCATTTTTGATGACTTTGCCAGGACCTGCAGAAATTGACAACATACTTAGTTAGCTAAAATAAACTATCACTCATTAGTTCGACTTTTTATTCCAATCTAGCGAAGACATTTTAGTTGCCGCACATTATTTATTTAGTAATCACACACATCCTAATCATGAAGTATCATTTATATCTCCTAGCTCGCGTTGGTTTATAATCAAGGAAATCTTGATTGATTAAAGTTAGAAAATTACAGAACCATAAAAGAATATGAAGGAATAAGGGAATGATTGGAAACATGCCTGAGCAGGATAACTTATGTACTTCAAAGCTTCAATCCCCATAGCTGGTCCAATCGTATTCGTAATACCAGCACTCCAGTAAGTCCACCAAGGTGCACCAACAGTGCTACGACTGGACCAGAGCTTTATCACTGTTTATGATACACACAATTCTTAGTTCTTATGTCCACAAATTGTTTTTTTATGCGGTATGCCAAGGGAAGATACAGAATAGAATAAGAATGGTAGAAAGTTGAGCCAAGAGAAACTCACTTATATATGACCATATTAAACAGACAACGTTTTGTGCCAAGTTAAGGAAGGAAAGGTGTTCAAATCTCTTTCCGTCGGAACCAAAGCGCTTAGTAGACCTAAATAGACATGAGAAATTACTTAGAATCGTCAAAATGGACTTAAACCCATTGGTGAGGAAAGCAAGAACAACGAGCATTTGCATTCCTCAGGAACGTGACTTTTCCGGAGAGAAAAAGGGTTCCTCAAGATCAAGTTCAAAGAAAAACAGTAGGTAGAACCACTACTAATCCTCAAATCAATTTATTTTCATTTTCATTATAAATAAATAAAAAAAAAAAAAAAAAAAAACCCATATTTCAGATGCTTCCAACATTTTCTGATACATATATGATTGAAGCCAAATGATAAGCATTGATCCGAACTACTGTTAAATGGCAACAATATATGGCGGAGAAAGCCGGAAGGAATTACATAAGGAATAAATGGCAACATCCAATTCCATGGAAGAGTTATTCAGATTTCCCTAGATAAAGGGCATTAGTGTTCGCAAGTAAATCCAAAAGAATCAAGACACTTTCCAAGAAAGAACACAAACGAGAAAGCCTAATATGAAAACAAAGTTTATGCTCCATCAAAATCCTCGGGAAAACATCAACAGTAGAAACTCGCTAAAAAGAATAATGCTATATAATCAAATGATAATAAAGAAAACAAACTTACAGAGTCTCCTGAAGAACACCTTGATAAATGTAAGCAGACCAAATCCCGGCGACGCAAAAGGCGAGCACGAGCACGCGGCGTAGTCCGCTGCCATGAGCTTCCATTCTCAGCCCTTGATGTCGCCGGAGAAACTAGATCGACCAAAAGAATACGAAATTGCAGAGATACGCAAAGAGAAAGAATGGCGAAGAAACGAATCGGAGAAGAAATTAACTGCCAAAATGCCCCTTTCACGAAGGATATAAAAGGTCGAAACGTCAGATATTGGTGATATTCCACGTGGGGAATTTCTATTGGATTGATGACATAATGTCGCGGCTCTGATTGGCTGAATCGACGCAGATCTTTTAAACGGAACGGATGGGACAACGACCAAAGCTCGACTTGGCGCCGTTAGCGGCGTGGACTTCCAATGGCGCGTAATCGGCTACGGATTGCTGCCTGCTGGAAGAAGACCACCACTACGTATCTTTTACGATAAGACGTTTCAGCTTTTAATTAACTTAACGACATGTCGTTTACTCCAAAACTGTTCGTTTTTACCTTTTTTAAGGCTTTTTTTTTTTTTTCTTTTAGGAAAAATCAATTTATATTCGTAAATTCCTAAAATTTCCTAAATTAATCATTGAAGTATTAAACTATTTTGAAGTATATAATAAAGAGAATTTCATTTAATAATTATATATTTAATACATAAGTTAAATCGCATTCTAAATCCTAATGCTATTAAGAGTATTCATATGACTCATTAATCCGATCAACCCAAACTACTCAATTTAAACCATAAAGATTGGGTTGGGTTGAATTTTTGAAAAACCGAACAATTCCGTTCACGAGTTGACATTTTTTGTTGAGTCAACCTAACTAGCTCGAAAATAAGGTTACAATCAACTCAACCCTACTTTACTCTTAAGATCAATATGAAAATTATAAATATTTGATATTTGTTACTAATGTTGGTAACTTATAAATGTTTGATAACTGGGATTTTTCTTAAAATAATTAAAAAAGAAAAAAAAAACAACATGACAAATCAACCCAACCAGAAAATAGAGGGCTAGGTTGTGAACTGTCTAGTTGTTCAATTCAACCCAAAAATAAATGGTTGAGTTCTGAACTCTATTCGTTCCATTCATGTACACTCCTAAAAGTTACCAGAGAATTAGGGTATATAAAAAATAGAAAAGTATCAAAATGACACCCGGAGTTCTCCCAAACACTTCAATAGGAAACGGAAGAACCCTAATGAAGTGTCCTGGAGAACTCTAGAAGACACTCGATGTTTGAATATGGTACTATACTCATGATCAATGTTCATAAATTGGGTATTTGTATGCCTATGAAGTTCAGTTCATAGCTCCATATGGTCGTGTTTGTGTTCTTCATTCAACCCGTTGTGAATCCATACGTGAATTCGGGGAATATAAGAGAGAAAGGAAGAGAATATTGTGGAAGGAACATTTTCCACGACTTCCCTTTTTGATTCTCTCAAATGGATTAGATTCTATGTCGGAATCTAAGCTGGGTCCAAATGAAGATAATATCGTCGATTCTCAACCAAATTTTTATTTTGAATTGCACTCAAAAGATGCTTAATACTCGTGAAAAATGTTGTTATTTACCTATTAATGTAGGATTTGAAAGTTCATATTAGAGACCAAGAAACTATTTCAACCCCTATTCACGGGAAATTCTTCATTTATTTTTGTAAGGATCGGAGTAGAGATTCTTCAAGACAAATTTGTGAGTATTAGGTTCTTCCAAAAAAAATTCCAATTTATATATATATTAATTTCAAAGAGCTTTTAATAAATAATTGTTTATTTTTTTAATATAATGTAGGCTTAATTCTATTAAATTTAATAATATTTTATAATGATAAATATAATTTTTTAAAACTCAACTTTTAATATTATATATATATAAAAAGTGAACGAGGTCGGTAAGACAGGAATTTGTCGTCAGTCTAACGAATAAAACTCTTTTCAGTCTCTTCCGAGAGATTCAACAAGTCTCGTTAAATGAGCTCGTTCATATGCTTACAAGAAATTGTATAGGTTTATTAGCTTCTTCGATATCGTTCAAAGAATAGTTCCAAATATATATATATATATGAAAAATCTAATTAACACTTTTTATAATATAGTTGCTCTAAATTAGAGAACCAAATTTGAGACCATACAATATATTTCAATTCTTTCTCAATAACTTTTAAAAAACTTTATTATTAATATCATCCTTTGATTAATACGATTAGCGTCATCTTAATCAACAATAATACAGGTTTAATAAGACTTGTCTTCCTCTCGTGTGACGAGAAATGCAAGTCAAACATTACCCTGTAAAATATTATTATGATGTGATATTTCCTTATCTTTATATTATAATGATACGACGTCTTTTAAATTTAGTTTTGAATTGTGAGATTCTACATCGGTTAGAGAGGAAAACGAAATATCCCTTATAAGGGTATGAAAAAACCTCTTTATAATAAACGTGTTTTAAAATCGTGAGACTGACGACGATACATAATGAGTCAAACCAGATAATATCTACTAGCAGTAGGATTGAAGTGTTACATACACGCTATACAACCCAAAAATATGTTTCTTATTTCTTGTTCCTATTTTTTTTTTTTTAAATGTAAATAAAAATATTATTCATGGATCGTAATTTTTTTTTTCATATTTATTTATTTACATTTGACAAAATTAAATTTGATATTAGAAAAAAAAAAAGTAAAGATTTTAAAATAGGAAAATAATGTGTAGAGAAAAAAAAAACAATAAATTCGAGTATATATATATATATATCCATGAAAATCATCTTTAATTGAATTTATTACTCCAAATTAATTACGTCATTAATTAGAATTAAATACTCTTAATTCCACAAATTGCCAAACACTTGAGAGTTTGGTTTATATGTAGGCTTTGTAAAATTAAGCATGAATATTAATATTTATATTAAGTTTGGTAGGCATGTTAAATTTTGTTATAATATTTAATGATTTTATTATAAGTATATTTTGAATTTTAAAATTTAAATGGCATAATTATATAAAAAGGAATAAAAACGTTAATATATACAGTATTTCATGTTCTAATTTAGAGTATATGCTTAGTATATTTTCTAAATGATTCTAGATTATTAAATATGGTACAATATTTATTTATTAAAAATTGACTTAAAAAATTATCATAGTGTACATGTGACACCCGAATAAAGAGCGGTAGATGAATGAATCAAGGCTAGGTCCAAATGAAGGCGATCACGAGTATAAGATGACTAAGAAAGACTTATAAGAATTGAAAGTCACTACCTATACCAACTAAGAACACCTTTTTTATTTTCTGTCGATGACTCAATCATAAAAACTCCAAAGTTTAGTGTGTTTTGCTTGGAGAATGCGGAAAGAATTCATGTTAGTCCACTGACCATCTGAAGAGGAATGTCGGGGTTGTTTTTCTTGGAGCATACTGAAAGGACGACCCCGACATTCCTCTTGAGATGGTCAGTGGAGATAGTCTTCACTATTAAGAAGCGAGAAATAGGTAACGTGACCATCTTACACGAAAATATCGGGGTCACTAACTGCAAAATCCATATTTTAAATCTTTCCTAAGTCATTACATAATATTTTATAAGAACGTTGCAATAATATTTTATAAGAAGGTTGCAACCGAACAAATAACCAATTATAACACAAATTTACAAATTTAAGAATGAAGATGACAAATAGTGCTAGGAATCACGACTCTCCATAATGGTATGATATTGTTCACTCTAAACGTAAGCTCTCATGACTTTGTTTTTGAGCTTCCCAAAAAGTGGTATGATATTGTTCACTCTGAACGTAAGCTCCCATAGCTTTGTTTTTTTAGCTTCCCAAAAAGGCTCATACGAATAGAGATGTATTCCTTACTTATAAATCTCATGATCATTCTCTAAATTAGTCAATACGAGACTCTATGAAGAAAGCCCTTGAAGGGGGATTGGATCTCCATGGATCAAACGTAGAAGAAGAAGAACAAACGTAGCATGTTCGTCAGTTGACACCAAGAGTTCCCCCAAACACTTCATTGTAGGAAAACGTTAGTTAAAACTCGGCCTAAATGAAGTCATTCAGGGAAACTCTAGGAAGCAAATGACCTTGTAACCAAAACCCATAATGCATAAACTGCATGAGTTTGGTATATTTATATGCACTCTTGTGAGCTTCATATATGGTTGGTGAAGAATCAAAGGAAAAGTAAGCTTGTATGAACCTAGACGACTTGTTGGGTTTAATTTGGAGATATTATTGTAGCAAACAGAATAATCCATTTCTCACCCCTTTTTTTTGGTCTAAAGGGATCCCTTAGATGCAAAGTAGATATGAAAATGCCCATATGATAACATATATACTTTCCTTTTTCTTCCACTTCGTTTCGACGCGACGCGACGTTCCGTTGATTGATTTAATTAAAGGTGTTTTGTAACCGTCCAAGTCCACCGCTAACACATATTGTCCTCTTCGGGTTTTCCCTCTTAAGCTTACCCTCAATGTCTTTAAAACGCGTTTGCTAATGAGCGGTTTCCACACCCTTATAAAGAGTGTCTTGTTCTCCTCCTCAACCAAGGTGGGATCTTACAATCCACCCCCTTCAGGGTCAGCGTCCTTATTAGCACACTACCTCGTGGCACATCGCCTGGTGTTTGGCTCTGACACTATTTGTATTGGTCCAAGTTCATCCCTTGAAGATATTGTTCTCTCTGGGTTTTCTCTTTCGGACTTCCTCTCGATGTTTTTAAAACGTGTTTGCTAAGAAGAGGTTTTCCACACCCTTATGAAGGATGTTTCGTTCTCCTCCTCAACCAATGTGGGATCTTACAAGTTCGGTGGAAGATTAAACCTAAACACATAAATCAAATAAAACTAAACTCAAATCATAGGAATTATCGAATTCATGTTCAATGTATAGAACTGAAAGCTCGAGAACGTCGTTTTGTATAAACTAGTTCGAGTAATGCACGATAAAGTGAGATTAATCAAATAAGGGGTTGTTTGTTTGTTTGTTTATAAGATTTGGAATAAATTCCATTTGAAGTGGGAGATGGATTCATAGAAGGAAAAGGACGGATGAGCGAAGAGATTGATAAAGAGGTTCGTCTTGTCCACTCATCATACCCAAACCCTTTCATTTGGTGCATGATTCAGACCAGGTTCGGTTCGTCTTT